GTTATTTGTTGCTCTAAACATCATGCTGTGTGTTTGCCAGTGTGTGCCTTACTAATATGGGAAGTGACCACTGAAGTGTCTGCAATGTATGCAGTAGAAAGCATAGCAGCACTGAATTTACACTCAGGTTCTCCAATCCCAGTTTAGCAACGTATAGCTTTTAAGTATCTGTAAATATGATCTGTGTCTACTTCATGCTAATAAGACTAAAGAAACCTTTAGTCTAATTGAGAACCAGGATCAGAATTTGTCAGTTCCCTATGGCATAGATTTTTAATTTCAAATAATCTGGGCCAAAAAGTGCATCTTTTTTGCTCCTGAAGCAATTACTCATAATTAGGTTATTCCCAGGTGGGCCTCACTATTAAGTTTTCATGGTTATCAGATTCTGTTCTCTAATGTGGATCTGATTTTGGAAATACTAGTTCTCCTTTTTTATTTACTTGTTCTGAATAGGAAGTAAAGTAATTCACTTTTCGGAATAAGAAGAAGTAGAAGTGTGTCTGTATTGATAGTTGTATTCTACAGACAGTATTTTTATAAATATATTCTTGTGTAAAATGTGTAGTATATGGGAAAATTGGATTCTTAGCTTTTTATTGCAAAAGATTAGCTTAAATGACTTCAGCGACTCAAAAGAATAGAGTTTTGATAGTCAGTGACCAGAATCAAATTAGTACCCAATAAAAAAAGTACATATATTCATTTATAGTCGAGCTAAGAAAAGCTTAGTCTTACAGTAGCAGAAGATGAAAATGCATTATGGAGATAAGCAGTCGACTTCCTTAGGCTAGATAAAATGTGCTGAAAGAAAAGACAGAGAAGAATTTGTGTATGTCAAAGACATTGTCTGACCAGATCTGTACCTCTTCTGGAGTGCAAGTGTTTAGCTGTGATTAGAAGTAGTGTCAATGAAATATGAATGCATTGTAGCATTTCTGACCAGGTTATACTGTATCTACATGGTGTTTCAAGTAACCCCTCGTTATCTGAACCAGAAGCATGAAAGAAATTAATAAAATATATGAGGAAAAGGAAAGAGCTTGTACTGTACCCTCTACATAATAGTAATATCCCTGGTACAGCTTGTACAGTAAGGTGACATTGTCATTAGGCTCTTTCTCCGTAAGTCATTTGCACTTCACAAACTAAACATATCAGAGCTTAATGTAATTCTTACCTGGCATGATCTTACGTTGGGAGGAATGATTTATTGCAGACATAACCAAAATGAGGTTATAAATACAGTGCTAATAATACTAATATTTGCTTGATACTACTTATAGAACCCATCACCTAAGAATAATGAAGCACTGACAAACTGTAGGTAACATCAGAACGTCCAGCCAGAGAGTATACTTTTCCTAATTAGTATGGACAAATCATTAATTCGGCCAGATCACAGAGTGAGTAAGTGCCAGGGATGCAAGTGAGAAGCCAGGAATGCTGACTAGTCCTTTCTGAGATCTAGAGAGCGCTTCCAAAGTCCAACCTGAAAAAAGAAAACCCATTTCTTCTTTCTGTGCTGTGTAAATACTTGAAATACTTTCAAAACTTCTCCTGCTTGGCTTTGCATAATAGAAGAGATAAAGTACTTTGACAGTATGGTCTTTCTCACCTAGCTGAAATGAGGCATCAGTGAAGAATATGTTTGCAGAGATGTGAGATCTATACAGCTTCAAGGCAAAAGGAGATTTGCTGAGCGTTGGCATGGTGAGCTTAGCCAGTGAGTGCATAGATTTTTGTGCTGCTACTTCTCTTTCTGTTGGAAGATCCCAGAGCATTTCACAAACTTTAACGACTGAAACTTCTCAAAACATTAATGACATTCCTAACTTTATTGAACAAAGGGGAAAAAAGAGACATTGGGGCTGACTGACTCCCTCGCTGACACAAATGAATCCCAGAGACTTTAGTCTCTGATCTGGCAGACATATAGGTAGGAGCCTTAATTTTTCAGATAAACAGTCTCATTGAACTGAAAAGGAAATGCATGTGAATAAAATTAAGCATGCACATGTTTAAAAGATTAATCCTAATTTTAACCATTAACATCTCTCCCCTCCCTCATGAATGCCTTTTCCAAAAAAAACAAGAAAATTTTGAGAGGGTTTTAAATCTCTTATTTGGTTGATTTTATGGAGTTGATGAGTAGTATTATATTTAAGTCTACATGGATGTCACTTGTATTTTCTTTAAAGTGTTGACCTTCACACCAGGTGTGAAGCTAGACTTCTGAAAGGCACAGTGCAGTCTTTCAACTTTTAACTGGTTTAACCTTTCAAGGAACCCATGGCAGTTTTAACTGGTAATGTTATTACCTAAAAACGTTTGTTCTTCAAATATTGATGTTCTTCACAAAGTGGAATAACATTTAATTATTTTTGGTGTGTAAAGTAATAAATGACCTTGTAAATGAAAATCAAATGCAGGGACAGGTACCAAATGTTTACTGACTATAAACACCATACTAACTCTGGGTGAAACATTTCTTATTATGTAGACTAACTTTCAAGTCACATTTGTTCTGTTTATTAGTTTTAGTGGCTTAGACATGTTAAAGATAGGTAGTTATTTTCCTGAACATGAACTAGTTGAGATGACTAATTCACAAACTTTTATTGAAGCATCATTTTGTGTTTGATGTGGAAAAGAGAACCCTAATATTTTTTTCTGTGGATTTCATCTGATGCTACAATGCAGTAGTTAGCAATTACATACGAATTCACCTGGCACATGAAATAGGCACTGATAAGAATCCATTGCTAGAAGGAAGTAACTAATGAAAAAAATCACAATATGTAAAGCTTTTCTTTTTTTAAGTAGGAACTGACTACTTTTGTGGGGGTTTTGGGTTGTGAAGTCATTAAAGATTTTTGATTAATAAAAAGGTCTATTTATTTGCTTGGTTTGCCAGATTAGAAATGTTTCGGTTTAGTTTTGCATGAGGAACTAAGGGAGAGCTCAGGGATATTAATTATGAACCCTAGAAACCTAGTGCCAGCTGTGAGTGTGGTGAACCTTGAGCAACTATCTTATCATTCTAAATTTTATTTGGTTATTAGAGTTTTGTAACTTGTTATAAAATGCAACAAAATTTTAGTAATTAAACAATCTGATTCAAATTTGTTTCTTCTCCCAACTCCCCTCTTTATCCCATGTTGTATCATCAATTCTCCAGTGTAAGGCTTTCAAGCTTTAGACTTGCTATTCTGAAACCTAGCCAAAAACAACTTTTCCAGGTTGCCTACTTTAGCCAAAAAAGGCACAAAAAAGTAATTTCTAGCATACAAAAATATCAAAATTACAGCTAAGAGAAAAATAAATTCACCAGCTACTTGCTCATTAATGTCCTCATTTTAACCTTAGAGAGATACAAGTATAGACCATATGTACCCTGCGAGTATACAGATATACAAGATTTTCAAAACAGGTTTGCAGTTCTCATTAACCTACACGGCAGAGCCTAAAGCATTTTCCAAAACCGCGGACATACCTTGTGTTCTGCGCTGTGATTTAGACTGTCAGGTAACATAACGCTGTTAGATCTGGACATGACGTGCCAGTTTTGCAGCATTGCGTCAATCCCAATGCTAACAGCTTAAAAGAGAAATACTCTTAAAAATGAATACAGAATGTTTGATTCACTCTAAAGAATGTCATTGCTGTGTTTGAGTGCTGGTCTCCAGATTGTTTTCGGAGGATTGGTATTTCTCTTGTTTGGAGGAAAGTAAAAGCAAAAGTTCCTTTCAGTGTTATGTGGATATTGGGTTTGCTCTGCTCCTTTATGGAGTAATTACCACTGATCAAGTGTTCTTGGTTTTTGTTTTTCCCATCCTGCTTCCTTACCAGTTACATGATATATAGTTCAGCAAAACTCTGAAGACTGTTTAGAGTTACTGGCTTTCTGTAAAGCAAACAGCTAAACACTGGAGTTGATGCAAACAAGGCACTTTAGCATTTGAAAGAAGTGTTAACACTTTATTTACATTTAAATTAAAATGGACACTTATTTATGTGTTCTGGTTCTGAAAGGTGTGTGGTACATCTGCAGAGGCCTATTGTTTATTCATGCTGTAAATCCTTTGAAATGTGTTAAAATGCTTCCCACTCATTATAAAAATCCTGCCACCCATGGATTAGGGCTTTGATGTCACCAATCCTGCTTCAAAGGGTTCTTTCAATGCTATTAATCACAGTTTAGCCTCTGAAGATATAGCCAGAGAAAACATTTGGACATCTTGTGCTAGACTTGCTAAAACTTTGAAATATACAGAGTGTCTTGCATATGCACAGTCCCGTATCACTTCCTCTCTCTTCTCTGAGCCTTTATTTTGAAAAGCTATTTTATGATGACTTTGGCTTTCTACAAGTACAGAGGAAAAAGTTTAGGACACATCATACTGTACATTTTAAAAAAGCCACTCATCTTTCAGTTGACACCACAATATGTTTTTGCCTGAGGAATTGAGTCAGTCTTTAAAAACCCCAAAGGACAATAAGACTGGGGATTAAGCAGGCCTATATGTCAAAAGGTCAAAAAAAGATACCGTCTTATCATTTTCTCATCGCTTTCATTAGTTTGTGAGCTTAAGATGCTGTCTAAACACTTCAGGATTCACCTGATTTCATAGAAACAAGATTGTTTCTGCTGTCTTTTTCTCTTTTAAATCTCTCAATGAGTCACAGAGAAATTGATTACTAGTGATTGAGCTGTATGCCTTTGTGCTGTCGTTGTTTTCGTCAGCTCAGTAGCTAAGGTCAGTGACATACCACCTTATCACTGACTTTTTCCTCCCTTTTAAATCAACACTGCACTCTGTCATGCCTGTGCTCAATACTCTGCAAGCACAATTGGTAATGAGTGGGGTGTGGAAGAAGTGTGGTGGTGTCTGCTATTTTTAGTAGTATTGTACAAACTGGTTTTCCACCATACAAATTTTTCCCTACCAAGCTTCTTGAACAATTTTTGCAGTATCTATTTCTTTCTTTTTGAACAGGTAACTTGGCACAAGCAAGAGCCAGAGTGACAGCAGCATCTAGGTCTTTGCCTCCACAGCTTAGTGCTGGGCGTATCAAGGTTAGTAGTGTTCCCTTTAAAGACAGACAGTTGTTCATAAAATATTACAAACAGACCGTGGACACAGTGCTTAGCTGATGTAGGTATATAGTGAGGTTCTTAGCAAATGGGAGACTGCCTTAGTATCGGAGAACATGCATCTCAGCTAGGAGCACTGTTTCCAGTTTTAGTGAGGGCTCTATTGTAGAATCCAGTGAAGAATCAATTTACTACTGATTAATCTTCAAACTTTTGGAGTGAAATCTCAGTTGTGTTGATATTGATAACAATATTCCTCTTTATTTCAATGCGGTCAAGGTTTTCCTCTGATAATTTTGGCCTACAAAGAGATTTGAATAAGCAAAATTTGAATAGTGTATTTAACAATATGAAAGGCAAAATAAAAAATTGATCAGTTCCTTTTTTATTTAACTTGCAAGTCAAAAAAACAGGGGACATTTGTGACTGGTAGATGACCAGAAAATAACAACTTGGAAAAAACACTATTCTTTAAAAAGGACAACTGTTGAATTTAAACACTGCTGAATTTTGACGTAAAAGTATGTGGCATAATTGCAAAAGGATGGGATAATTTTATGGCAGTTAATAGGATGTGTTGCCTTAAGTACAATTAATTTGTGAGGAAAACTCTTGTGCCTCAAGCAGGTAGCATGTACACCCCCTCCCTGCTTCCTAAGTAGTACTGTTAGAGTTAGCTTAGTTAAGGCTTTGGGGTGGGGCTCCAAAGCAAACTAATAATTTTTAAAAACAAATGTGGTAACAGCGACTGGTCAAAAGTCTACAGAATTTTATGTTCTGGGTTTTCTATTTGTATTCATTCTCTCTGGTTATTAGGAGTTCATGCTCAAATGTTGATACAGTAATTCATGTCACCCAGATATCTATAACCTTTACTGTACCTGCAAATACAGATGTGGATTTTGGAGATGTATTTCCTCTCTGGTATAAACACTTTCAGTGCTGAAGGACAGATAATGGCCTTTCCAGTTTTCTTGTATTATACACACATTGTCTTCCACATAAAGCTATATTCAGCATAAGCTTTCTAAGAATGCATTTTATTGATACACCTGGGATTGACTTGAGCAATTATCTTTTGGAGCTTTAATAAACACAACCAGTTACTAAGTAGTATTTGAGTGGCTTTTACTCACGCTTCAAATTTTTAAAGAAAGAGCTAAAAGACACGCATAAGTGCAGCACTGTTCAGAAAATGTTAATTGAAATGTTTTTTCAGCTGGAAAAAATTCTTTCTTATAATTTCATAAAACCTCTAATTTATACAACTTCAGGAAAAAGATTTTAAATTACTACTTTACAATTTGTTAAAAAAATTTCCAAACTTAGTAATTTTGTTTGGAAGTTTGGAAGTTTTCATTTATTATTTAATTTATGAGCTTTTTTGCTTAACGTATTTTTTGGTTTTACAGTATTTCATACCATGCCAGCAGCAGGTGTGGTCAATATGTGAAGGTAATAATTTCCAGTGACTTCATAAGGTGACATGATGTCATAAATCATTCTTTTAATATTGTTTATAAACTATTATAAGTAATTTTTTTTAGTGATGGAAGAGTTTGTCTTTTGTAGGTCAAGCTGTTTTCCATTTCAGTTGTAATCATATAAAAGTATATTGTATGTCACTACTACTGTCATGTAAAAATGTGACTTAACAGTTGAAATATTCTTCATTTTAGTTTAAAAAGAGTAGCTAGTGATTTAAAACACAAGATTATATCGTGACATTCTTATTATGCTCTATCATTTTCTGCCAAGCCAGTTGTGATAAAGGCTGTTGCCTGTTATATGTGCGATTATTGCCCTACCATAAAACAGCATGGCTTCATAAACACCCAATGTTATAAATTAACCAGAGACAAAACTTCTAAAAATTCTTACAGGAAAATCTCCCTAACTTCAAGGTCTATCCGAATTTTTCTAATGAAACTTTAAATGTTTCTTGTAAAAAAGATTTGGAAATTGATCCTAGTCCTCACAGATCGCACAGATCTGAATTCACAACTCCATCCATAGAAAAAGGAATTTCGTGATACTGGTTTTACCCTGATTTTCTGAGGAAAAAGTGTATTACATCTCCTCTGTGAGTGTTTCTGACCATCTGTCTTTCTGTGTGTTCACTCCCTTCCCCCCAAAAAAACAAAACCAAAAGAAAACCCTTTTGAACCCAGCAGGCTATAGTAAACCATATTTGACAGAGTGGTAGTCTCAAAGATCGCAAAATTCTACAGGTTTGGTGAAAGTAAGCAGCTGTGAAAAGGAGATGCTTACGGTATCCTGCTGCCCAAAAGGTAGAGCATAAGCTCACCCTTTATTGGCCTGCAGATATTCCAGACATGATGGAGAGATCCTGAGTGCTGAACCTCCAACAACAATATCACTATGAGTCTCTGCTTTTCTAGACAGACAAGAATCCCATTTAGAAGTTCAAATTCATGGGCATTTCGGCTTCAGTGCAGTCCTCAAACTATTTGCTTCTGGCCTTGATTGGGTGTTCTTTATGATCAAATTGTCTGTCTTTTAACAGCAAATGTAACCAGTTATTCTGAACTTACTGTGAGTATTCGCTGGTATGGCTTTTGTCTTCTACCTGACCTTTACTAGAGATTTAGACATCAATTCTCAAAAAGCGGTTGTCTTGCCGAGATAGTTTCGAACATTCCCATATCCTTCCCCATGGATATGCCTGCTGTTCTGATTAGGTCATTGATGTTTACTTTGTCAGGTGACCTCTTAAGATGTTTGATGTTATCTGTGCTGATAAGGCATTTTTCCTAGGATATATTACAGACTTTTCTGTTAACATCCTTAAAACTGAAATCAAACTGCGCCTTTTTATTTTTTTCTCATGTGTGTGTTTGAGAGGCGTACTAATGCATGTACATCACTCTGGGCTAGAACATCACAGATTACAAAAACATACTGAATTTTTTATGGTCACTCTTATGGAAATCTGTCTCCCTTTGCACCATCTGTATTCTGAATCTTGTCTTCACAAGTTTTCTTTTGATTTCTTCCCCAACACAAAATCAATTCTCTTGATCTATTACTACTTAGTGCTTCATTTCCTTTATGTTTTGCATGCAGTCTCCTAAATATCTCCTGAAGGTAAGAGAGACAGTTACTTTATTGAGAACTGTAATCTTTCAGCAATTACTTTTAGTGTTCAGAAGAGTGGTCTTAAGTCAGTGAGTGTTGGAAATGATCATATGGAGCAAAGTCCAGGAAGTGTAGCACAGGTGCTGACAACAGCATTATCTGGTTTATACAAATGCCACCTGGTCAGAGCAGATGGTAAACTGCCACAAAGCAAGTGAATGCTAAAATGTTGTTAATGCTCCATGCAAACAGGATGCTGGTTGATTTTCTTTAATTTTGTTGAGCTGTAATACAGCAACACAATCTGCTTGTGATTGGTAACCATGGTTATACTCATTCATAAATGCTGGTTTCATTTTGATAAGAACAGCTGTACTGACAATATAACTAAAATATACAAGGAGCAATATGTTTGCTGTCCATGTACGCCCTCTAAAAATAACTCTTCTGAAATGCTGAAAAAGCGGTATTTGAAGCTATAGCAGTTCAACAGAGTAAGATTGCTGAAATTCTTGGCATCAAAATGGCAATTTAAAGTAATTAATAGTAACCACAACAGCAGAAAGGAAAAGACTTACACATTCTGAGATTACCTACTTTGTTTGCCACTTGTTATCCGACAACAACGTTTTTTCCATACGTGAGCAAAATGAGGCAGCTCAATTTACTTCCTGGTCCTTACAAAAATGATAGCTCTTCTTATATAGAAAATAAGACCTGATGGAGTTCATTGTAGTGGTGCTAAGAGGAATGCTTTTTAGAAATCAGTTCATAAGGTATTGCATCTTGACAGCTGCTTCATTGGCTGAGTGTTATACTATCATAACAAAAGTGTGAAATCACTTGGAACACTTACAGTTCTCTGAAATCAGTGCATGTCCTGCATCTGTTAGAAGCTGGCCTTCCTACCTCTGATAAAGTACTCTGAAGTACTCACACCTGAAGGAATGTCCACAACAAAAACTGAACCTAGCCCTCATGGTGGGGAGGGGTGGGTCTGCAGTGTTTCTGGAGCAGCTCTAACATCTGAGTTTTGTCTTCCAGGTTGACACGATGGAGGTTATGCGACACCCTGAGGAAACAACTAACATGAAGCGGCAAACTGTGGCTTCCTATTTTAGGGTACAGAAGTTAAATTGAAAACAAACATTTTGCTGATAAGAAAAATAGATGGATCTAAAATATTTGTGTGATTGTGAGATCAAAATGAATAATAAGAGAATTTTTTTGTTCTGTTGTGAGGCCTTTGTAGACCCATAAATTTTCTTTTGCTCCTTTTCTTTTTGTTTCTTCATACTTGCACTTTTATAATTTCGCCAAGTACATTGATAACAGTATCTAGAGTTTAGATTATTTCCATATAAAATGCTGGATGTCTAGAACAGGCCTCTTTATGAACAGAAAACTGATTTTGTGCAAATAAAATAACTGTCATTACTAAAGCCTTCATATTTTTTCACAAGCTCAGGCATACCTACTTTTAAAGATTAAGATTTGTCATTTGTGTTAATAAGTAAAAACAATCCATCTTTTGGAAGTACTGTCATAAATCATATGGATTGCCATTTTATCAGTAGTAATACTGTCTGGGGTAATGTATTTTCTGCACGTGTGTTTAAATCAAACAGGTAAGGAAAAGTCATTGAGAATGTTGGAACTGGAAGGTTAGGAGTCAGGAAACCCACATGCCAATCCAAGACTGTTGGTTGTTTTTTTTTTCTTGCAGTCATTGCAGAGTGGAAAAGTCCCAAGCAGTTGGTCCTTGGGCTGCACTTGTACAATGCAGAATGGGGAAGTTCACAGTGCTGTGCTAGCCAGGGTCAAAGCTTCGTGCCATGTTGGAATACCTGTTTTCTTTGTCATGCAAAATAGTGTAAGGAAGGGCACAGAGGAAGCTGATGTGTACAGAGATGTTGCTCCAGTGTGTAGGGTACAAGGACACACATTCAGTCTTGTCTAGTAATCCAAGTGTGGATTTAGAGTGCTCTTGCAATGAACTACGCAGATGTCAGCTGTGTAGGAACTGTAAAAAAAAAAAAAAAAAAGTGGAGTGGGGGAGTGAGTGTGAAAGTATACCATAATATGGATGCAGCCTACAGCAAAGTGACCACAGTCAGCTTGGAGTTGTACGTGATTTTGAGATCGAGTGTATTTGCAACAAATACTTATTGTACAGTCAGTTAATGAGGTTAGGATGGAGCAGAAGTATCAGTATTCAGAGGAGTCATTGGAAAAGCACATATACATGGTCTGAAAACACTTTCTTCATTTTAGTGTAAAATGCAATGGAAAAAATTGTTTTCCATGTCCAGGGTGGATAGGAAAAGAAGTAATGGGCCTATGTTTCAGCAGGAAGATTTAGGTTAGATGTTAAGAACATTATGAATAGTCATGATAATACAGCACTTCAGCATATTGTCCAGGGAGATTGTGCAGTCTATACCCTCAGTGATTCTGAAAAATAGATTAAACAGAGGTGTGCCTGAAATGGTACAGATACATCTAGTGTTCTCTTTGGGCAGAGGACTGAACTGCAACCCTTTCTCCATGATTTTCTGTGAATTTCTGTGATTAACTTTCACAGTAAAGCTTGTTCTTCTGTTGAGGTTATTTGATTGGTCAAATGTGCCTACAGGAGAATTATAGTTAGGACATTTTTCATTTAATTCTTTTTTTAATATGGGCCGCCTTCAACTACCGAAATATGGTATAAGGAGAGACGAAGAGAAAGGTCTAAGAAGTAAGAAATAATAACTAGAATAATGTTATTTTTTACAATTGAAAACTTTTAATAGGCTCTGAGTTTTAGCCAAAAGCTTTAAAAAATATTTTTTAACGCAGATTAACATTATAGATTAAAATATAATCAAGCATTACTACTGTTTACAAATACATATCTCCTGCTTGAGTAGTTGCATTGCTGTTTTTTGTCAAGTGTGTGCAGCTTTTTTATTTTCCTCACTAGTATTCCCTCATGGATCTTTTGTCCAAAATGGTTGTTGGACAGCCTCACTTTATCCGCTGCATTAAACCTAATGATGATCGAGAAGCACTGATGTTTTCTCATGAGAGAGTTCTCCTGCAGCTACGATACACTGGAATTCTAGAAACTGTCAAAATACGTCAAAAAGGGTATTCTCATCGCATCCTCTTTGAAGAGTTTGTGAAAAGGTAAGACTTCTATAACATGACTGTTGTTTAAAAACTCCATTCAATAAAATATATTCTATGTTTAAGTACAGAAAGTTGTACAAATATTGGTTTGTACACGTATGGTTTTATTCTCTAATGACAGCAGTGACTATCAGAAATAAAGACTATAAGAGATATCTGAGCTCTAATGAAGAAAAGTCAATGTGAGACCAGCAGTGAGCACTTAGTATTCAGTAACAAGCCTATCCCCGTGGTTCCCTCAGTTTAAGCAACAAGTGGATTCTGCATCATGCTCAGATAATACAAGGACTTGGAAGGTCAGTGACCTTCAGCCATCATCTGAAGAATGTGCACATCCTTCTTAACTCATATAAAAGCTTTAGATTTAGAAATATTCCTCATAATAGCTTTGTAACCTCATAGTCATTTATCTTGGAGATACCATGAATTATAACCAGATCTCTCTTCAGCTGAACCCTTGTCATGACTACAATTACTGGCTTTAATACTATTCTCAGTCTCAAAAAGTTACAAATTTGATTCAGAAAATGCTATTGTCTTTATGATGACAATATGCTTATATGATCATTATGGTTTCCTCTAGATTTGAAATATGTTTTTGTGTAGTATTTACTGTTTTCCAGTCTGTAGGACTGATAATTCAATAATGGCGCAGAAGCAGTAGCGTTAAGTAATCGACTACTCAGCAGTAGGAACAAGTAGTGAATGGCTAAATAAGGCATTCAGTGATGTTTTCTGAACTGGAGGTTGCTCATCCAGACAATACAGAGTTAATGAATCCACTGAAAGCAAGTCATTCATATGATGCTAGAGGGAAGGGGCTGATTATGTTTTTGGGAAAGGGGAGACATAAACAGTTTCACAGGTCTTTCTAAAACCCAGAGATAAGGTAAATTTACATGTGTAAATCAGTTATTTGGGCTTGGAAATCTGTTGACCTTGCGCTGAGAGATGTTGAATGATAAACCATAGCTTAATCAATTCATTCTGAAAAACTACGTAATTTTCTGATTTATAATACATTAGTATGCCAAATGAATATGTAATAGGAAGACACTAGAGAGATATATCCCAGGAACAATAATAACTAATGCATTCATTTGTCCATCAAAGCAATTTAATTTTTAGACATGATCTCTCCCAACTTTTTTTTTGTGTTAGATGACTAATTTTAGTAAGGTCACACCATTCTAAAGCAGGTTTAACAAAGAGATTGATTTTCGTGATCACTAACATATCTTTGCAACATCCTGAAGAGGCTGAAGGCAGAATTATTAACCTTAACTTTTATCCAATTTACACACAAGTGAACTAAGATTGACTCCACTGAAATTAGTGTAAATTGAGAGGAAATTAGGCCTCCTCTTATTAGTAGATTCTTTCCATTCAAAAGTGCACTGAATTTGAGTACAACCTTGAAAAATAACGGTAATAAAAGCAGCGCTGACTGTAGCTTTCCATTCCTGTGGATAAGGGCAAGCTGTGTTTAACATCTTGTCAGATACTCCCCAAGTTTTTTGTACAATTTGATGTAATTCTTCCAGGAAAAAAAGTCAACATGACAGGGGAAGTGTAGGGGGAGATTTAGCAATTTGCCCAACAGCATGGAAGACTTCCTGAGTTCAGACTATAAATAAGGGGCGGGAGAGGGAATGCTCTTGCTCCTTTGTTCAGTTCATGCTTTGTTTTTAAACAAATTCTATTCTGTTTTGCTCTTGGAAAAAAAACCAAAACCAAAACCAAAAAAACTATGCTTAAAAAAGCTATCAATGGAACAAGAAACATTTTTCTTCAACTTACAGCCATGGCTAGTCAAGTGTTTCTAGGAACTAAGTAGCTGAATACATAAAAATGTTTGAGAAAACAGGTCAAATGCTAAACAGATTGGCACTTCTTTGTTCATAATCAAAAAGACATTAGGCAAGTATGAACAAGAGTTTCAAAAATGTCAGTAAATGTGAGGATATCAAAGATTTTCTAAGCCAGCAAGTTAATTGGTATTTTGATCCTTTTGAGCAACTGAACAACAAAATGGATGAGCCAGCACTTTTTCTCCCTTGATGTTATTAAACAAATAGGTGTGCTTCTTATCTGCCTGTTCAATAATGCTGTTTTGTAAACTCTTAGCAGGAAATATGAGGACAAAACAATCAAAGGCAGGGAACAGAACCATTCAGGGTTTATCAGGTGGGATGTAAACAAAAGATAAACCTCTGTCTAATGTTACTCTTTACTGTCTTCTGTTTTCATGTAGAACAGATTATTTCAGTGTTGCAAACCTGGAGGTACTTTATTGGGTTAAAAAACAGATGGTGAGGAGAGAACTTAATTGTCACTCATTCACACAATGTTTCTTCAGCCAAGTATACAACCATCTGGTTTATGTATATAAATAACATATTCTTTTTCTTAAAGTAGGGAAATGTAATCTGCAGCCCCTGTAAACACTGTAGACCTGTCAAGTCTTAGGCACTTCATCTCTGTTGGCCTTGTCTCGCACCCCATGCCATCATGTGGCTGTCTTACATGTTTACTGTGAAGCAGCAAGCCCCCTTTCTCAGGCTGGAATCCCAGGTTTCACACACAGGTTATTAACCTGATCAGGCAACCAAGTGTGCCTGCTGTGTGCGGCCGCATAGTGACCATGCACTGCACAGCAGCTAAGAGAGGTGTGCTTTCTAGTGGGGCCTGCACTGAAAGTCCCACTGGATGGGATGCTCCTTGCTATATCCGAGTGCCCAGGCCCCTGGAGCTTCACATGACGTGATGTGGTGTGCAGGTGAGTCCTCACCACATATCCCCCAGCTGTATACCCCTTTTATGTAATATGGCATATACTATACCATAGATTGAAAGATAAGAGACTTGAGAGTCTAATGGTGCTAAATGATGTCATGCTTGAAGTGCCTCATAAGCACATGGGAATGAGTTGAGATGTTTTGTACAAGTTTCATTTAAAGATTGTCTTCTTTCTTCTTCTCTGCCGATTTACGATCTACATTAAAGTTCTTTGTACTGCATTATGATGCAGGATACACTTTTCCTCTAAACCCTATCTACTCCACAGTAGCCAAATGATGTTACTCAGATCATACACTCATGGAAATGGCAGTGCTGTTACTGTAACAGTGATCCCAGCGAGGCTAGTTCTGCTTTTTCAATCTCACAGTGCAAATTTGCATAAGGTCACTGTTGGTACACCTCCTGCACAGTCTCTAAACCGTCAGTGTTACATTTTTTGTGATCATATAAAGCCTCATTGACCTTAATGAGTCACATTCTGCTTTGAGTGGACTTACAAATGAAAACTGGTCAAATATTGCAAAATCCTGTAAAACATGTTACCTCAGTACATGCTTTCTTCTAGCCCCAAAAATTCAGTGGTGATAGACTTATTTATGATTCAAAATCAGGGAAGTACTGAGTAGAAGTCAACAGGTTTGCTACAGAGAAAATAAATGTTTGCTTTTAAAATGATGCATTTTTAATGCACACTTACTTTTAACACTGAATCTGCACTGTACCAAGGTCCCTAAGTGATTTCTTAGGAAAATCTAAGTGATTAAATCCCTAAGTGATTTCTGGAAACAAAATTGTAACATCCCCCATATTTTGAGTTTACTATTAGCCATGGAAATGTTTGTTATTTGTTTAAGTGGCTTTAAGATTTCACCAGATCTGTATAATGTTCCTGTACACTTTAAATATGGTAAACTACTGTACCTTCCACATATACTTTCTAGTCTCTTGTCATTCACAGAACACTGGTAAACGGTTGCAGGATGGAGAAGATAGCAAACCTATAGGAGTGAAAAGTCTGCCAACCCCTTATGAATTGTATATGCAGAATGGACCAAATTATGCCTTTCTGAGAGTATTTCTGTGATTCTGTTTATCTGATGATTTACAGCATAAGTGTTAGGTCTCTGTTACTGAATTTCAAGAGTACCTTGGATGTTTTTACATTTTTCGTTTAAATTTTTTCATTCATACTCTCAATATCGACTCAAATGTAATTAGTTGTGTGAATTCAGATGTGAAAGTTTCTGAAAGAGATGAGATACAACCAGTACAAGTCAGGAATTTTTGAAAGTTATTTAACGGCTCTTTCAGTGCTAAAAACATGGGGTTTTTAAACTTTCCAACTCTAGGGCTGAGAAGGAACAAATGTCTTTTGGAACGTCGAATCTCCTTACTATTGCTGGGAGTCTGGCTAGAAAGGGATTTTGCCCTCTTGCACCTCATGCTTTTCACATATCTTTATCCATTCTCCACCTCAGACCAGTACATTTTAGTACAAAGATTTGTTTTAAAGAGAAAAAGGGTTAATCATTACTTTTTTGAGTTAAATGTGTGGAGTTGATGCTGCCTTTGTCTGGAATGTGAAGGGAACTTTAGTAAGAGACACTGATATAGTAGTTAATGGTGCTGTTTAAATGCTATTTATTGAACAGTTCCACAGTTCACCCTTTAAGGAGGGGAGAGAAATTGAACCATTTGTTTACAATCAGTTTATCTAATCTAAAACTACCAACATTAAAATGCCTTAGCCATAATCAGATAGTTAATGCATAGCATCATTCTGAAGTTTTCTGTATCTTAGCATACTTGGATGTCTTTAGCATTTAACCTTAACTCTGCATGTCCTAGCTTTGCACTTGTGATCTAGGGATAAATTCAGCTTTTAAAAAATGTTGGTTTATGCCTAATGACTACTAAGCACAGTTAATCCCATTTTAATGTATGTTTTGTCTGGAATACTATTCATGTCCCCGAAGGATAGTTTGTAGTGCAGTGTAAGAACCACTGGTTAAGAAATACATAGTTCCAGAGTTTCATCAGCTCTGAGAAATTAGTTCTTCTGAGGGAAAATTACTTTTCTCTTACTTAGTTTTACTGCTATCGAGAATGTGATTAGTCAAGTACTTTTAGGAAACATGTAGATGAGTATGTGTCACGTGTAGGAAATTTTCAAGCAGGATGTATAACCCAAGAAAATAACGTATTTTTGCACGACTGTGTGCATGTTTATGAAACAACACATGAAGGACTCTAAACTTTGTTTATAAAAACAGAAATAAAAGTATTGGCTTAACATAGAAGATCACTGAAGTGTTCCAGACTACTGCCTTTTCTGCTGGAATAACAAATGTAAATACGTAAATAAAAAAATAGAGTTGTGAAATTTTCATCTCATCTGGAAGCAAATGTGATTTCTAGCTCTACTTTTCTGAAATTAAGTATCTGGTTTCTTCTCTTGGTGAAATGTTGTAAATAGAGGTCAGTGTGATTGCTGTACAGTAGATTTACGTAAATATGATAGAGATGAAATTAGGCCAATAAATCAAAACGAACAGTTGTAGTTGCATAAACCCCAAAGTTTTGGGTGCATTCCCAGACATTTTCTCTTCCATTTCATTATGTACAATATTTGCACGCTTTTACCGGATATATTACCTTCCCCCAAAATATTCAATATGGTCCATTGCTGTACAAAGATTTTAGATTAGGTAAAATAATTGGATGACCCTATGTGGCACATGTGTGCTGCCATACAGTTATCCTGAGCACATCAAGTCAAACTACTTATGCGTCTGTAGTTGGGTGATTCAGTCATGAAAACAGGCACCAGATAGAAAATAAGGTGTTTGCTTAAAAAAAACCCACATGGATTTGAGCTTTGGAACACTAATCTAGAGACCTTTTACTGTGCAGAATGCGAACTCCAAAAGCAGTTCTGGAGGAGAAATAATCAAAAAGAAATTGCCAGTCTCATATTGCTAGACCTTATTTCTGATTAGTGGAGTCATTGCTGCCTTATTTTTGATGACGTAACTGAAAAGGAACAGGAAGACCTGATGTTGAAAATCTGACATCCAAGCATGTTTAACCAGTTACAGGAGTCTTCTGTGCAGTGGTTGGATCAATCAAAACATTTGGCGAAACAGCATTTAGAGGGAATTGTGTGAAATATTGGGAGACAGTATGTTTACATACAGAAACTGAAGTTATTCTGTGGTTTGTAAAGTTACTGTCATTCTGAATGGCTTGCTTGCTTAGAAGACAGATACATTTAAATTTATAAAAACATATGTTAAACTAGAATTTGAAAAGAAAAATGGACATTGTTTTATTTATGGTTTTTTTAAGTGTTTAAGTATAAGTACCAAAAGCAACTACATTCTAGATCATGAAACAGAGCTAATGGAGAGGGTACTACATATGAAAGATATTGAAGTTTGTCATAAACAAAATGGTATAGTCAGGCATGTATATTGCATGGCTCAAAAATACTTTTTAGTCAGGTATTTGTCACAAATAAGAAGTCAATTTCTCAGTAATGAGAATGTCATTGATAAGATAGTAAGGTTCAAAAATTATGAGATCCCCCTTGGCTATTTTATTGCATCAGTGCTATCTAAAAACTGTTCTGTGGTTTTAAAATTCCCAACTACGACATGCCTTAAAAGATGTATGAAAAGACAGAAAATTGATATCATTACTCACTTGAATCCTTCCTTCTTTTCTTCTAAGTAAAGGAACTGTTTAAGTTACATACATGTGTAAATAAATGGCTATCTAAACTGGCTTTTGAAGCAAACAGCAGTTTACTATTAGTACAACTTCCCTGATGTATCTGTCAAGTATCTGTTGAAATTGCATGCTATCACAAATTGTTTGTGATAAGTATATTTTAAATCTGAGTTTTATTAGTGCAACTCATAATACTGCTTGTCCTGTGAAAACTGGCATCATTAAGTTCAGTAATAAGGTGGAGGAAACATACTTCTTTTCTTTTAAATACACCATTTCTCCATACCTGCGAAATAGCATGACTCTTAGTATTTTGAAAGACTTGGCTAAAGAATTCGCAGTATTGTATTATTGAGAAAGTCACTGTGTTAAAAAGAACTCAGTAATACATAATCTCCTATCATTATTCAGAGTGGGTAATGTCTCCAGTTGGTGAATATCTGTATCTCTGGTCCAGAACTTGATTCCAGTGCTTCTGCCTTCAGACGTCATTTTGTTCCCCTTTGATCTTTATTGACTCTTTTAGTGGTTCTTTTTTTCTTTCGTGTGACAACTGCAGCTAATATCTAGAGATTAACTGAAGCTAATATTTGAAAATCATATTCTCCTGATTAAAAAAAAAAAAAAGTCTTGTACTATTCCATTCTTTCTAATTGCTTCTCCATATTTTTTTCAATATGAGGTGGGATATTTTCTTGCCTCTGTATGGCTACAGAGGAATCTCTCTTTGAGGTTCACTGGACCAATTCTTCTCTTTATGTTTTAAAGAAGATCTGATGGCTCTTTCCCATGCTAATAATTATGAGAATGGTTTGCTCAACCTGCCAGTTCCTCTCAAACACAATGTAAACAGAGTAGCACCTGTAGAAGTATTAACTATATATAACTTGGTTTATAAAGACCAAGACAGTATGTGGCGGTTCATAAATGAGACCAGAGGTGGCAGTTGCTAACATCTAACAGTGTACTTGTGCTAAAATAACCTTAAATTTGTAAACTAACTGGCACGTGTTCTTGCTGTTACTTAATTGTTTGCAAGTAGAGTTACTTAAATACTATAAAACCATTCGTCACTAATGTGTGGTGACTTTACAAGTAGGGATTGGTCCATTCATTCTTAATTCAGTTCAAACATGTTTGCATCCCTTTTTCATTAACTATTTGCACAATAATGTTATTTCACATAATTGTTAGGAGCTGTTCTTTGCAATGGAACGTCGGCAAAAGAAAAGTTCATATTGCTTAGTATGGGCTTGCTCCAAAGGCCACTAAAATTGATCATAATCGTTCCAATTAATTGTTTATCCCAATCAAACAGAAAAAAGACATCATGCCTAATGACTTACAAACCGAATCATAGCCACAGAAATCCTTGTGAGTGAAGAAAATTATTACATTCATATGAGGAGCTGCTAGTTCTGTTTAACCGTCGGCACTGATAAAATCCTTGCCGATATGATAGCAATGCCAGTTGTTTTAATTATGCATATATGTGATCTCTTTTGGACGTGTGAAAGACGGGGGTATTCATGCAGTCTGAGCATCTTGCTGTCTGTAAATGAAGATTGATGTGAGAGTTGTTTTTAATGTAAACTAATCCTCACTCTTCACACACAGTGGCAGCCTTTCAGCTTCAATAAGCAGTCAGTATCACTGTATCATTGTACTGCTTACCCTCCTGGTGCTGGCCTTTATCTTCACCAATTGAGAATCCTCAGTCTTTCTATTAGGCATAGGGAAAATGGGAAGCTCCCCTGGGTTCTGTTGATGGGAGTGGTCTTGTTACAAGCTCAGGAGCCTTGGACTTTTTATATGGATTTATGCATCACAAAGAATGTCAAGGCCATTTATATTTCTTTGTGAAAAATGACCAATACCAGTAACTAAACTAAAATAAATTGAAAGATTCTGAAATGCCTTTTTTGGCATTTCTCATAAGAAATAAGCATCAGATCATGAATAACTTGTTTTGGTGCTTTTCTCTTTCTTTGGTGCTAGTATTTGACTTTTCTCCCACTCGGAAATCTGTAAAGGTCCATTGAACACCCCAGGGAGCACCTGCTTTTTCAACAGAATTTGCAGACTTGCAGTGAGATATAACTGTGCCAAAGTATGTTATGCAGCTCTGTAGATGGCGTACTTATTTTACACATGTTATGCAAAAGGTTTTATTTTGGCCTTCCTTTCTATTACTCTGATTTCTAGCACTTTCATTCATTCACTTGTTTGCTTGAAAAATTCAGAGCCATCTTGGGTGTTTCCTAAGTTGCACTGTTTTATGAAAGACTTTTATGGATGATTACACCAACTGGTGATTTCTAGAATGCAGCAGATTCTTCTCACCACTATGGTACCGCTTATTTTCCTATGTCATGTATATGTTCAAATACATGTTCATGACAGCTGCGTCATGATTTATGAAGAGGACTGAGTATAAGGGAGAATTTGGCCTGTTAGTTTTAGAGATGCAGCTCTGAGCTAGAGAAGAGCAGTGAAAGTACGTATTGATTGTCAAGTCAATTCTTTCTTTGTCATTTGGTTTTGCAGGTATTATTACCTTGCATTCAAGGCACACGAGACTCCCCTTGGTAGCAGAGAAAACTGTCTGGCCATTTTGGAGAAATCTAAACTAGACAACTGGATTCTTGGGAAAAGCAAGGTAGAGGGTGCTAACACTTTTCTGAAGGATAGTGCCCTTTTAACAAAATATGTCTAATGGTGGTTTGAAAAGTACTGCATGAATGAACAAAAGAGCAAGGAATTTGCTCCAGTTAGCCTCCCAGGTCATGGAGGTGCCCTCTCAAGCCAGCTGAGTTAGTGCTGCAAGAGGAGGGGTGCACTGGGTACCTCTCCAAAGCACATTCTGCACATGGCTGCCTTGATAAGGACATTACATCTGTCAGTGTCTGCTGTGGTAGTGCCTCCCTGAAGTTCCTCCTGCTCCTAATCATGACATGACTGACACTTCACACTCTGACCCATCCTGTGAGCCTGGTTAGTACATTATCCATTTGTGGAGTTTCAGGTGAGATCCTCCTGGCTTTATCAAGAGACTGTGTTTAAAATGGAGTGGATGACTTCTGTAAAAAGGATGTTATATCTTGAGTTGTTTTACAGTGCAAAAAGTAAAAACATGGAGGATTTTCCTGCTCAAGACCCAGAGAAAGTGTATGTAAGCACCCATAGGATTTGCTTCCTGAAGCAGAATGCTGTTAGAAAATATTATGTCTAAAACCAAATTCAACCCAGGATTTATCTTCCCACTATCAGGAAAGGCTATATTTCAAAATTGTTGACAACTGAAAAATCCACCTGGCCAATTTACTTTGTAAAGGGGGTAAATATGTGGTTTATTTTGCAATGGGGTGATTATAATCAGTGGAATAATGAAATTCCACAAGCAGACTGAGAGCAGATACTTGATTCACAAGATTGGTATGATGTATCAGCAACGAGTGTTTTACCAGTTTTCTCAGCAACAGTGCCCTAAAATAGGCTGACATAGGACTAATGAGAAGGCAGAATACAAGAGGTTATGTTACTGCCTGCATGTAAATACTGATTTTGGTTTTGTTCCATTTCAGGTTTTTCTAAAGTATTACCATATAGAGCAGTTAAATTTGTTCCTGCGAGAAGTTATAGGGAGGGTGGTGGTCATGCAAGCCTATATCAAGGGATGGCTTGGAGCAAGGAGGTACAAGAAAGTCAAAGAGAAAAGAGAAAATAGTGCCATTGCCATACAGTCAGGTAAAAGTTCACATTCCCTATTTCACTGAGTGTCTCTGCATTTCAAGCTGTTAAATTGCATGTACATTATTTATTCATTTGTAATAGTTTATTATGAAATCAAAATAACCGGAGGTGCTTTTCTCTTCAGCTAATTGGTGCAAGTAATATTGATTTACCTCTAAGGTGTCATCTTAGTATTTGGTAATATCTTTATTTAAATATTTTAGTATTTTGCATGTGATGCTGTGCGCAAAATGAAAATACTGTTAGGTATGTCTATGCTAGCATGCAGCACATAAATGATACACAGTAGCATGCTCCCCCCTGCCATACATACCAGAATTCCAGACAACATACGTTGTGGAGTGAGGCTAATTATCGGTAATTTAGCAGGCTTCCTTACATTGAATTTAGGGAGCTGTGTGGGAAGGGTTCTTATGCTGACATGATTGTGCACCTTTGCCTTTTGGGTTAGGACATCAGTGAGCACATGGTGACAATTAAAAATTGGATGAGTGAAGCGGTGTTTGAAGTTGTGGGGATGTCAATGCTGCAGTCGTGAACCCAGAGTTCAACATGTGGGTGGGTGGGGAAGAGGTGTTGGGGGTAGGGACTGAGGTGGTTATGGCAGGAGGGATGAAAGTTTCAGCACATCTCTGACTCTGTAAACTCTGTAGCACTTCCTTAAATAAATGTAATTTCCAGCACATGGTTTTGTATTTTTAGCCTGGAGAGGATATGAAGCTCGCAGGAAGTACAAGGAAATAAGGAACAGAAGAACTGATGCTGCTATACATATTCAAGCAGGTAATTAAAACATTATTCCAATTGCCAGCACTTATTTTGCTGTGGCTGATTTCATGTGTCAGTGTTTATAGCCAAGAGAAATACATACAGTGCAAACAAAAGCTATCAAAAGCATTACTTCTGATCGTTTGTTCTTCAGTATCAAATGACATCAGTGACAGGTATCAGGCACTTTGGGCTTTTTGTAAGTACTTCTCTGGAAACAAAACATACTGGTTAAAAGCTGTTGAGTTAATTCTTTAAGATTCTTCTGAGCACAATCAGTATGATTCAACTATATGTAGGGCTGGCATGAAGCACTGGATTATTTGACTAAAAGTGCGGATGGGAGGCACTGGACATGCATTTCTCTGTCTTTGTGTCAAGCTCTGATCTTGGCAGGTTGCCTGGTTTTTGTTTTGACTACTTGCTGGGTTTGCCAGCTTTGGCCAATCTTTTGACTCTCTGCCAGACTCCTATGCAGCTATATCAGTATGAATTTGAATAAACTTTAAAGAGATTATTGGAGGAACAGGCCCATAGGGCTGTGTAGGTCTCTAGTAGAGAGCAGGGTACCATATGGCACAGAAATCTAAGAACCAGGGCCGGGAACTCAATGGTGTTTTCACATGCTGCCAATATGAAGCAGCCTTCATATGATGCAGTGTAATACACCTTCCCTGTCCAACCCCAGGCTGAACGACTGTAGCCGATCAAAAATGAGTTGTAGCAAATGTGTTTACAGATAAACCAAGGTACCACCTTTATTCTACCAGCTTCCTATGCTATAATTCCTTAAACTTTGTCTCCTCTGTATTCTGTATTATGTAGTCTAAAGTCAATCTGAAAAAGATGTGTTCTAAATATTCTTTTACTTTGTTCTGAAGCCATTTCCAGTAAATTAATTTGTTTTTCTTTTGTCTAAGTTTGCTACTCTGAAATTAAGCATCTCTCTGACTTCCAGCAGCAAACAGAATACCAATCTAGTTACAGAAAGGAACAGAGTATTATTAGGATAAAATAGTAATTTATAGCTTTGCATGCATACTGTTATGTAGAATCATGAACTATAGCTTTAGGGTCAAATGCAGAATATACTATTAAGTGGAAAACTGTTAAGGAGAAATTTTTTTCTCCCATTACAACAAGCACTGAAGGACTACATAAGCACTCTCCCCTTCTTCCTCGCCTTTGTGTTGTTATTTTCTATTGTTTTCATGATAGCAAGACAGTAGATCTTAAAGTACCCACTGCTACTATTTTCTGGAGTGTTTGCTACATTTACACTTAGCTATACCTGAACTTCAATTTTCTGACTTAGAACAGCCTTTTGCCATTAAAAGGAAAGCGAAACAGTTGACCCATCACTGTCCCACTATTACCAGTTCCTTAAGATGGGAATTACCTCAGATTC